GTGAAGCACTGGCGAGAAAGTGAACTGCTCCCCTGGCCTGGCTCCAGCGTGGCTGGGAAAGAGCCAGCCTGGGACTTTGTCTCTTGCAGACGGAAACATTTATCCTCTGTCTTTGCAAACAGTAAATCTCACATTCCTCCGATTGATTTATTAGACCACTGTAAAGGTCAGCAAAGAAATCCAGGTGGCGCGTGGAATGTTTTTGTGGCTAGTTGGTACGCAAAGTGCAGAAGCAGCATGTATTTCCTTGCAGTCGGGAAAGCACAACTCAACAAACAGGGCTAGAGCTGTTGGTTCTGACCGATATGGCTGTGATCTGCTGGAAATGACTGCAAATTGAGCCCTTTAATGTCCCCAGCATACCCTCTTACCTCTGTGTCTGGTGACTGTGATTAAGGGCCAAGCACCGTGGAGCAGGCCTCTGGGGAGAAAATACATTACCTAGGCTAGTTCTGTGGAGCCAGCACTGAAGGGTTGGAACCTATTGCCATCATTTCTGCTTGGACAGCAGCAAGTTCCTGTCATTTCGAATACTGCACGTGTTCTGAATACAAACGTGCCTATCGTCTTTAATCTATTCAAATGAAATTCTCATTCGTGCTACAATCTAAATTTTATGTAGCCGCATAGCATGCTTTAGGATGCATTACTTCACAATGTGATGCTGTAAAATTAGGCAGCCTTTATGTTACAACGGGGAAAGTTTTTCTTCAAACATATTTCCCAAGAAATGAGGAGATTCATGTATGATGACTCCTAGGGTGAGCATAATATATAAGGAAATAAACTGGTTACAAGAAAGAGGAAATATATTTGTGGTTTCCACAAACTATACATTTTTTTTCATGATTTTACTCATGTTTCTGTTTAAAAACTTAAAGATTTGTAGAAAACATGATAAGCTCCAAGAATGAGATGTTAAGTGCCAGCATTTTCTTTTTATTCTTTGTAGCAATTTTTAAGGTCACTTTTTCAAAGAAAATCTATTTACAGGGGTAGAAAATGAAGGTATTTTAATTAGAAAAAAGGTGAAAGTCATGATGGGGTCATTTTAAAGAGTTCAGAATAGCTAATTTGCATTTTAGTTCATTAATCCCATAAAAAGTGTTTTGTAAACTGAGGTTTGGAGCAGTGTCTAAAAAGTGACATCATCAGTTATGTGTCATGCTCCACTGGTAGCCTCCACTTTATTTTACATTGGGACATTTCAGAAACCTGCAACAACCATACAGTTCACTGCCACCACTAGCTGTCCAAATGAAACATGCTCATTGACAGTTTCCTCATGGTGGAGATCAGTTCATAAGGGTGTCTGCAAAACGTGAGGTTCACTGCATGCACGCTACACTCTGCAGACTGCGGTGTGCGATTACCACACTCACAGAGACATATGGAAGCAGCAATGCTGGCAGGGGTAGTGTGTGTAATGAGTGGAGTACTACTCAGGCTGGAAGCACATAGAGCAGAGGTCTGAAGGGGCTGTGTGAGCTGGCAAAAATTACTTAGTCTCTCTGGGTTTCGGCTGTTTGCCATGAATAACAATAACCATCCCGGGGGATTTTGTAATTATTAACTAATAGGTATCAGATGCCTCTTATATGGTAGGGAATCCTGCACGTGTTTATTTCCTTCATTCCCCCCCCCCCCCCCCCCCTTGCACCGACAAAGTGATCCTAGTTTGCTGACTCTGATGTGTGTACTGGTGGTGAGGTGAACAGAGACTCCTCTGTTGTTCTGGACCAGGACTATTCCCACAGCTCACTGGTGGCAGACCTTTGCTCTCCTGGTCCCCGGACTGATGCTTTTCACGAGGCCTGCTCTGTCAGAATTCCAGCCTAAAGCCAAGCTTTTCAAAACAAAGCCAATACAGACCTTCCTGCTGTGCCAAGGAGTTTTAGAATAATGAAATGAGAAGTCACCAGGTCCTATCCATCTGAACCTTTCTGAGTCTATTGGAGAAGGAGTAAAATCTTCTCATTGGGTTTTAAGAGTTGCATTTTATGAGCTCTGTCGTAATGTCAATGTATTTTACTTTTTAACTAAATTACCTCAAACAGTCCTTCAGAGGATTACAGACATATTAGGGATAACCAGAATGGCAGGAATTTTATTAGTGAGTTTTATCTACATACTACTGTGTTTGTTTTGTAAGTAATTGTTATTTCTTAGGTGTGTGTTTTGGTGACAGCATTCAACCAGTTTCATGCTGGCGGAGGAGGTGCTGAAAAGGGAATAAATGCCCAAGTGTGTAACGAGATCCAAAAGCCTCTCCCAAAGAAATAACGACACCGTTGCAAACACACTCATGCAGAAACCTTCACGGTAAGGGGAAGAGAAAGTCAAGATTCTTTTTTAAAACAGTTTCTAAAGTTGCTCATTTTACCTTTATTTTGACACACGGAGCAAATGCCACATGGGCATTAAGAGCAAAATGCTGGAAGAGGGCTTAAAAAGAAGGATGACTGGGCAAAATATTTTAAGAAGAGGCAGGCATCCAGCAGAGGAAGGCTGAAGGTAGGGGGACCAACCTTCAGCCCCAGGCTGGGTTCAGGAGCCCTCTAAGCAAGGCTGTAGTGGAGAAGTAAAAAGACCAGAGATCTACATTCATTAATATGGTGGTCTGCCCCTCTCCCCGCTCCCTGTTCACCAGGTTCAGCAAAGGCAGGGGCCCCGCCCTCTCGTTCCTACCCTTTACCACTCCTGTGTGCCTCCCTTCTCAGCTAACCAAAGGATGGCAGCAGGTGCCTCACGGGTTTCTTCTCTCCGCAGCATTGCATTGCCCCTGCAGTATCCATCAGCGTCTCCTTCTTTGTGGGCAGCCTCCTCCGCAGTCAAAGGCTTCAGCCAGGAATGGCAAAAAATGCTGATGGACTTGAGATCCCTGAGGGTGACCTGGAACTCTGAGGGAAGGGAGCTGGCACAAAGGAAATGAATTCATGAATACCTAAGAGTGGGGTATAGGCAGACTCACACACACGGAGTGTGAAACAATGTTTTATATGGAGCAGGTTAAAAAAAAAAAATCCATTCTGCCACTTTTCATCCACATATGGGTAATTGGGAGCAGACAAAAATATGGCTTATCTAGGTCCCCTCTCCCCTCCCTTCCCAGAGAAGCCTTTCGCTCGGTTGAACCACTGATGAGCGAGAAGACGGGAGGATATGTGGGCTATGAAGACTCGTCAGAATGAGTGCCCGATCATGTCCGCCGGGGCCAAGCAAAATTTAGGACAGCCTCATGGCTTAGGCTTGAAATCCTAGAATGGTTGAGCAGGCATGGACCTATCAATTAAACTATCACTGTTAACGTTTTTAAAGTTGCATTATTTGAGACAATAGAGATTGTTCAGAAACCCCATGAAAGTTCTCTGCTGCTGTCTTTCCATCTACCCTGAAGAGCCAGGTGTCAGAATCACTGGCTTTTAGAGTTGCCAAGGCGATCAGAGGTTAAGCCTCACCCCACCCGCCTGTCGGGAGAGGGGTGCAGTGCCTCCCTGAGCAATTGTGGTTCTCGCTCCCAGTACTGCACCTTCTCAGCATCACCGGGAAAGCGAATCCAGCTGCTCTATTTGAAAACTGCTACCATACTTCTCCTTAGTTTGCGTCTAAAAAAAAATCAGTAAGTTGCACGTCAAATGCTACTCTTATACAAATACAGCAAAAATTAAATGCTTCCTTAGAAAAATCTTAGGTGTCCTATGGAAATCGCTGCAACCCCTCCATGAAACCGGAGCGACTCCCTGACACAAAGTATGCAAAAACGCTCTGCAAACCACAGGGCCGCATCAGCGTGCATTACGGCGTGCACAGTTTCAGGTATCTGGGTGTTTCCTAAAGGAAATCCATGGGTTCCTGACTGTGTCTGTTGTCTATTCATCCGAGTGAGTCGGGAGGAAGAACCATGCGGCTATTTTCTGTCCGCTCCAGAACGAGGTCTCAGGTCTGAGTTCTCCTCCCGGGAGACCACACTCGGTGCTCTGCTCCGGGCTGGCAGCTGCCGCTTTCCTCTGAAAATCAGCCACCTGCACGGCTTGTCGAAATCACCAGGTTGGTGATTCACAGGTGTAAAAGGAGGGAAATGGGCTTTTAGTGTGATGGAGCTGCTGGCATCAAGCAGGAATGTAGCTTGATGAGAAAGATACAGGCGGCGTGTAACAGTCTGAAGCGCCGGGCTGCAGAGCTCGCCGCCGCCTCTGCAAGTCGGTTTTCTCCCCCGTTAGTTTCAAACTCCTTCTCAGCTCTCCTCCACCTACACGCTCCGACTCGCTAAAAGCCTTCGAGGCTTCGTTCCCCAGAAAGAAATGAGAAAATCTAGGAACACTAAAAGGCTGATGTTAACTGCTCCAAGGGTTTAGAAATGCCAAAATCAACACCTACAGTGCCGCAGTTTCACGTGTGTGTGTGCGCGTCTGTGTAGAAGCAGTGCATTAAAGAAAAAGAACCAGAAGAAAAGATGAATTAAAGAAAGTGCCAGAAACAGTTACAAAGAAATAAAGTTTGCTCCATGTATGCGGCATACATGCAACCTTGGACTATCATTTGTATCTTAAGTGTCCTAAACGCCCTGCACTGTCACCAAAAACACCAAGGGGGATGATTAAGGAGGCCCCTGGTGGGGAGGGGGCGAGTTAGGGAGGAGGGTGCCCCGGAGCTACCGGGAAATGGAAAACGAAGGTGTCAGTAGGGCGTGAGAACTCGTTATTGGGGACACATTAGAATCTGAGGGATACGGGGTCAAGGATTAAGTAGGATAGGTTGGTGGGTAGGGAAAGCAATTGAGTAAGGGGGTACCGGGTCTCAGAGAAAACAGAAGGCCTCAGAGAAGAGTGGAAAGGACGATAGCCGCAGCACCCAGCCGCCGCTCGCTCGCCCCCGCCTTCCCTTTTGCGCAGAATCCTCCCCTTGGCTGCAGCAGCGCCTGCCCCCACTGGCCCGGCGCGCCGTGATCGATCGCAGGCTGCGTCAGAATTCTCCCCGAGTATAAATAGGGGTGGCAGGACCGCGCCGAGCCGCACACAGCCATCCATCCTCCCCTCTCCTTCTCTTCCCCGTTCTTCCTTCTCTATAGGCCCCCATCTCCGCCGCCAGCCAGGGGGGCACCGACCGCCACCATGAGTTCCTTCAGCTACGAGCCGTACTACTCGACCTCCTACAAGCGGCGCTACATGGAGACTCCCCGGGTGCACATCTCCAGCGTGCGCAGCGGCTACAGCACCGCGCGCTCCGCTTACTCCAGCTACTCGGCGCCCGTCTCCTCCTCGCTGTCCGTGCGCCGCAGTTACTCTTCCAGCTCTGGCTCCTTGATGCCCAGTCTCGAGAACCTTGACCTGAGCCAGGTGGCCGCCATCAGCAACGACCTCAAGTCTATCCGCACCCAGGAGAAGGCGCAGCTGCAGGACCTCAACGACCGCTTCGCCAGCTTCATCGAGCGCGTGCACGAGCTGGAGCAGCAGAACAAGGTCCTGGAAGCTGAGCTGCTGGTGCTGCGCCAGAAGCACTCCGAGCCCTCCCGCTTCCGGGCGCTGTACGAGCAGGAGATCCGCGACCTGCGCCTGGCGGCGGAAGACGCCACCAACGAGAAGCAGGCGCTCCAGGGCGAGCGCGAAGGGCTGGAGGAGACCCTGCGCAACCTGCAGGCGCGCTATGAAGAGGAGGTGCTGAGCCGCGAGGACGCCGAGGGCCGGCTGATGGAAGCCCGCAAAGGAGCCGACGAGGCGGCTCTCGCCCGCGCCGAGCTCGAAAAGCGCATCGACAGCCTGATGGACGAAATCGCCTTTCTGAAGAAAGTGCACGAAGAGGAGATCGCCGAGCTGCAGGCGCAGATCCAGTACGCGCAGATCTCCGTGGAGATGGACGTGTCCTCCAAGCCCGACCTCTCCGCCGCGCTCAAGGACATCCGCGCCCAGTACGAGAAGCTGGCCGCCAAGAACATGCAGAACGCCGAAGAGTGGTTCAAGAGCCGCTTCACCGTGCTGACCGAGAGCGCCGCCAAGAACACCGACGCGGTGCGCGCCGCCAAGGACGAGGTGTCCGAGAGCCGCCGCCTGCTCAAGGCCAAGACCCTGGAGATCGAAGCGTGCCGGGGCATGAACGAAGCGCTGGAGAAGCAGCTGCAGGAGCTGGAGGACAAGCAGAACGCCGACATTAGTGCTATGCAGGTAGGGCACCATCCAAAACACAGTGGGGGCGGGGAGGGGGCTGCAGAATGGAGTCTTTGGAGTAGGGTGGAGGTGGGGGAGTAGAGGTGAGGACGCGCCCAGAAAGTGGAGACCAGAGATGAGGCATCGGCAAGCAGCGATTAGGGGTAGGACTTGGCTCTTTGGGGACTGTACAGGAGGGGCGAGGCACTTGAAGGGCGGGGTGGGGGCGAGACTGCAGTCTGCGAAGGCGTGGTTGGTGCAGTTAACTCTGTTCCGCAGTAAAGCTGCCCAGCCCTACAGGGTGTTGGGTGGGGTGGGGGGAGGGGTGGGAGCTGGGCGTGGCCTCCGGCCTGCCTCTCTAAGGGCCTGCAGTATCAAGTTGCTTTGCAGCACGGATTGGACCATCTGGTTAATAAATACAGTGAAGAGATCGCATTAGTTCTGAAGGATAACTGTGACCAGCATGCTTTCTGACTAGCTTTACCAACCACTCCCTTCCCTTAGCAGGAGACAGGGATACAGTCAAAATTGTAGGTAATGATGTTCACAGTAAAAAAAAAATTTTTCAAGTATCTTCCTATTCTGAGGAGAGAAAATAATATAGATACACAGAAAATATTTTAGATAAAGTAAATTTTTAAAAAATCCAGCTATTTCCTTCTCCAATAATGGAGTAATTTCTTGCATGTGACCAGGGTAAAGTTAACCAATGAATGAGAAACAAATAAAGAAAATCAATTTAGTTTCTTGCAGGCATTTTATGATGATCATTAGACAGTATTAATTAAAGAAGATAAAAGAGAATTTTTCTTCAGCTTTTTGGATTATTTTTTTTTTCATCTCATGCTTCATGAAGCTGGATTTTTTTTTTTTTTAGGAAGGAAGGAAAGGTTACAAAAGAGAAAGGGCAGTTGTTTTAGGGGAGATTTTATTGAAGGTGTGCACTTTGATTTGAATTAAACCTAGGCCTTTGCAGCTGTACTTCTGTAAAATGAGAGCAGTGGGGATTTATGCTTGGATTTCTTTTCTTTTCTTTTTTTGTCTTCCAACAGGACACAATCAACAAATTAGAAAATGAATTGAGAACCACGAAGAGTGAGATGGCGCGATACCTGAAGGAATACCAAGACCTCCTTAACGTGAAGATGGCCTTGGACATCGAGATTGCAGCATACAGGTAAAACCAGGGGCGAAGGGAGCAGCCATCCAGCCTTAGGAAGAAAAGCAGATTTCATTTATGGTGAATCAGAAACGTTCAAGAATAGTCCTTTGAAATAATTAAGTGCTTTCTGGCTGTTTCCAAGAAGGTATATAGACATATATATATATATAAGAATTTAACCCTGTAATAACGAGTCCTGTTCTTAGCTTCCCATTACATTTTAAATCTAAGGGACAGGACTATCTTAAGTGGTTTTTTATTTTTTCTGGTCTTAGTCACAACATTCCCAGCCATTAAGGTTTGACAATTCCCAGCCCTGCTCGCCTGCCTCTCAAGGTGGCATTGGGGGAAGATGGGCTCAGAGTGAGTCATTCAACACACGTCCTGGGTTCAGTGTTAGTTAACCCTACCTCCCTCTGCCTCCCCAGGAAACTCTTGGAAGGTGAAGAGACCCGACTCAGTTTCACCAGCGTGGGAAGCATAACCAGCGGCTACACCCAGACCTCCCAGGTCTTTGGCCGATCTGCCTACGGCGGTTTACAGACCAGCTCCTACTTGATGTCCGCCCGCTCCTTCCCAACCTACTACACCAGCCACGTCCAGGAGGAGCAGATCGAGGTGGAGGAGACCATTGAGGCTGCGAAAGCCGAGGAAGCCAAGGACGAGCCCCCCTCTGAAGGAGAAGCTGAAGAGGAGGAGAAGGAGAAGGAAGAGGCTGAGGAAGAGGAGGCAGCTGAAGAGGAAGAAGGTATGATGAGAAACAAGTCCTTACAACTTCAAGTGCAAGCTGAGCGTGGGTGTTTGTTAGGAGATGGATAAGATTTATGCCAAGGAAGTTTTATTCATATATGAGTTTAGAATGTTAAATAATACAGTTATCTATTTATTCAACAAGCCCCTGGTGAGCATCTGATTTCTCACATTAGCCGTCTTCCCAGAGGCACACATCTCTGCTTAGGTTGGTAGTTTTTTGAAAATAACATTTAAAAATATTCCCCTACTGCTGTCTTTTTATTCCTATGAAGCGTTGTAACATATATTCATTTAACACAGCGCGTTGGTGTCCTAAAGAACAAAAGTAAGTACCAGACACATAATAAAAGAGAAACTGATGGTCCCGGAAAGGAGCAGAGCTTCTGGTCCCTAGAAGTACTCTCATTCTGTTTAAACGTGTGTTCAGTGGGGAATTATGCCTGGCCCGCATTGTTGGTGGCATGTGCTTTGGGGGCGTGGAGCTGCGAGGTTTGGGGGAAGCATTCTGACATTTGCGTTTTCCCACAAAACCTTAGCAGAAATGTTTTGACTGGACTTCCCCTGGATTTGGAGTTTGTAAATTTTCTTTTTATGTTAAAGCTGCCAAGGAAGAATCTGAGGAGGCCAAGGAGGAAGAAGCAGGAGGTGAGGGTGAAGAAGGAGCTAAAGTAGAAGAAGCAGCAAAAGTTGAAGAAGCTAAAGTAGAAGAAGGAGCTAAAGTAGAAGAAGCTAAAGTTGAAGAAGGAGAAGAAACCAAAGAAGCTGAGGAGGAGGAGAAAAAAGATGAAGGTGCCGGGGAGGAGCAAGCAGCCAAGAAGAAAGATTGAGCCCCCCTTTCCTTAATTATTCCAGGAATATTCTCCTGAAATCAGGTCAATCCCATCACCACCCAACCAGTTGAGTTCCAGATACTATATGAATTAAGAAGTCAATACATGTATAATTCTGAGGTGACTCAGGTTGGACATTCAATGTTGTGCTATGACTTTTCTCCTTATGCAGAGTATCGTTTGCTTGCAGAGTGGCTTCCTGGCTTGCTGCCAGCCTGTGCATGGTCCACGCTTCTGAGTTCAGGATCTATGGCAATGTGAATAATTCAGATGTTTACAATAAAAAAACACCAACATGAATAAATGAATTCACTAATGTTAATGTTAAACTTCATGGAAAAAATAGTCCTTTGAACCTTTGGTGGTTAGAAATTAAAGACCTCGAATTATGTGCAATAAATAGTAAATAAAGTTACACTGAATGACATTTCTTGCTGTGGTTGTTGACTTAATTAAAATATCTTAAAGATGGCACCAATATAAGTCATATACAAGTGGACTATTGAACTCCAATTCTTGTAAGTCAAAATTTCAACCATTACAATGCCTTTTTCTCTCTTAATTGGTAATTGGAGGGATGCAGTTAGGTCATGACCATTCATGAAATCTCTGCCCTCAGAAATGTTACTGATAATACATTTGAGTGAATAGAGTCTCTGACGCTCTTTTTCTCTTATAAATAGCAATAAACTTTGCCCAATAAAATCTTCTATATAATGTTGGGAATGGCTTTGTTGGAGGTAATTCTGAAATTATGTGATAAATATACCCTTTATGGTAAACAGGTAACTTTAACCCTAGTATATAACAATGAATGCAATATTGATAGATTATGAATCTCACTCATCCATCACTAGAACTACATTTAAAAAATATAGTCTAAATATTACGGGCAGAAGTTAAAACCCAAGCAAACGATATAATCAGAAGGAGTAATTTTTTTATCAATGTGTAATTTGGGATGGAGAGAGTAAGAACATTGAAGGGTATTTGCTATTGCAAACATGTTGCCTGCAATCCTGAGCTCATGATTCAGTGTGTTGTTAGCTTAATTCTGTTACCTCAAGTAATGCCACCCATCTTAGACCTCTTAAAATCTGTGGATACAGATAATGAAATTGTTATGAGTCACTAAAGGGGGGAGATTATATACCTGTTTGTTACGTTGCCATTGCTCTGCATGTCTTTATTGGGAAATATGTGGATTTCAGTGATAGCTCCAACTGGTTGGACATTGCATCAAATACATACCTGTCCATCCTCCCCACCCACTGTGAAGTTATGAAAGCTCTTGCACTTGCACTTGTTGTGGAATGTGGATGAAATTATTGATTATCTGCTGTTCTGCTTCTGTTCTTACCCAATTGCTTTGTCAACTAATTTCATTCAATATTTGTTCTTTAGACAACTTTTAAAAGTCATGAATTTAACCTGAAAGCAAAGTGATCTCGTTTAAAGTTATCTGATCTCTTCACATTGCCTATTCTAGTTAAATATATGTCACCAAGCAAGTAGGTAAAATATTTCTTTATCTACCATGATGCTATGGATTTGAACTATGAAGATTCTCAGTACATCTGCTACTGTAAAGACTAGGTGTTGCCTAAGAAACCAAGCTTTTCACATTTATGTTCATTAAATATGGATGATGCACATGGTAAATCTCAGATGCAAATTACATGTAAAAAAGCTACTTTAGCCAAATGGGAACAGCTGTGCGTTTGAGAATTACTTGAAGTAAGAACACTGTACCATACTCTATTCTGTGTGCCATAATAAAACACTGAAAAACCTAAACCAAATGGATTTGAAGTCTTTGAAAAAATTTCCTCAAATTTGGTAACCTGGTCAGTACCCCTCCCGCTTCTCCCCCCAGCAGTCCGGTTCTCTTTCAGTCTTTCCTCTCCCAGTTAACGACACCACTCCCCACTCATCTAATTCTGTAAACCAGAGACCGGGCGTGATCATACCTCCCACTTCCTCTCTGCAACCCCTAGTCTAATCTATCACCAAGTCCTATTGGTTTTCCTGCCTGCATACCTTGAATCCATCCACATTTCTCCATTTACACTACCACCATGCTAAGGACTCTTCCAGTGTCTACTCTTGTCCTCTTTCAGTCAGCACACTACAGGCATCTACTGTTTTGAAAAGGAAATTTTGATCATGCTGTCCCCTTGATTAAAACCCTCCAGTAGATTCCCATTTCTTTTAATATAAAAACCAAAATCTTTGGGGGCCAGCCCGGTGGTGCAGTGGTTAAGTGCACATGTTCTGCTTCAGCAGCCCAGGATTTCGTGGTTTGGATCCCGAGTGCGGACATGGCACCACTTGGCAAGCCATGCTGTGGTAGGCGTCCCACATATAAAGTAGAGGAAGATGGGCATGGATGTTAGCTCAGGGCTAGTCTTCCTCAGAAAAAAGAGGAAGATTGGCAGCAGATGGTAGCTCAGGGCTAATCATCCTCAAAAAAAAAAAAAAAACCCACAAAACCCCAAATCTTTAAGGTGATCTTCAGGATATGCATAGACCTGACCCTGAACTACCTCTCCAACCTCACCCTATGTATATTTCCCTGCCCCTCGTTTCCAGCGCTCCAGCCAACCTGGACCTTTCTTCTCCCACCTGCCACAACATTTTGCTGATTTCTCTGTCTAGAGTGCTCGTCTTTTCTTTCCTTTCCTCAACCTTGCCCAGATTTAGGCTCAGTTGTCATTCCCTTGGGGAAGACTTCCCTGACTAGGCCAAATTACTCTATTAAATGGGTTCATAAGACCACGTAGACTTGTACACATGTGTAATTGGCATCTATTTCTATGATCGTTTGAAAATGTCCGCATTTTCCACTATAGTGTGATCGTCAGAAGCAAGGAAAGCAGACCTCTTGCTCACCATTTTATCTCCAGCATCTAGCATAGCTCCTGCCACAGTCTACTATAAATATTGATTGAATTAATGACTTCTCGATAGATCAAAATGCCTCAGGGATGACTAAAAAGCCAAGAGTATTCAATAATCAGTCCCAGTCTAGTCAACACCTGTGGAAACAGCAGAGAGCCAAGAATTGAGTGTCTATTCTGGATTCTAGTTTGTTAAAAAGTGCAGGCCTTCCCCACCCCTACCCCCACCCCCACGCTGGCCTCAATCTTCTTAGCTACATAAGGGTCAGCGGTTGATGTCTCAGATGCTGTCTAGATTCAGGATTCAAAATTTCCTTAAAAACTTTCATAAACTCAGGCTAAATGGGTGATTGGAAAACATACATATGGCTGTATGTTCACACTAAAATCCATCATTTAGAGGGAATTGCTAAACTTAGTGTAAAGTCTCATTTCTAGCATTAAATTGGTAAATAATTAATTTGATTCCTTTTTTTCCCACATGGAGATTCTAGTGCTGTCGGAAGAGTTGCTGTGTCCCAGGCACTGAGCTAAGTGCATTGTCTGTATTAGCTCATCAACTGCTTTCTTACAACAATGTTATGTCCAGTAGGATTATCATCCCCATTTTACAGATGAAGAACTAAGGTTAGGTGACTCGACCAAGGTCACACAGCTAGTTTGTGGCAACACTGGGGTTGAGACCTTGCAGTTCAGCTCTAAAGTCCATGCTCTTGACCGCTCCATCACATTCCTCTCCTTTGCAGTCCGGCTTGGGAGGTGTCCTCGTGGAATCAGAGCATATTTTCACAGGCACGTGTTGTGACAGTGGCTTGGGAGTTTTCACACAATTATTGGAATTCTTACAATGCAGTCCTTGTACCATTCAAGGGGCACATTTACATTCATAATGTTCCATTGTAGTTACTTAGGATGCTCAAGCTTTTCTTTAATTCCTTTGATTATTTATGTCCATATCTTAATTCTTCTGCTTAATTTTAAGCTGTTGGAAGGCAGGAACTAGGTTGTATAAATAGAAAGGAATTTGAAGTTTGTCTTCAAGGATCACCAACTTTCAGGATGCTGGTTTTCATGGTGTTATTCTTGTATCTGGTGACAATTTTGTAGTTTTGTTCACATTTGACTGGTCCTCAATTGTTTCTTCTCCTTTTCCTCCTTCTGCTCTTCCTTTTCTTCATCCTCCTCTCCCATTTCCACGTCTTGTTGTTGTAAGCTCTTTCAAATTATTTTGGGAAGAGGAGAAAGTTTGACCGAATAAGTAAATATCTTTGTTTCCTTCCACAACACCCAACAAAGTGCTTTGAATTCGACGGAGATCTTAAGTATTTCTAGAATGTCAAAAGTTATTATTTGTGAGAACTTTGCATAAACATGGCCAGGATGGAATGGAGAATTTCTTCTTTCTCCCTTGGGGACAGACTGTGAGAGATGAAAATTGGTCCAGTCATGATTCATAATTGAAAGGGGTTTCCAAAGGCAAATGCAGGATGTTTTCCTCTTCGGGGGAAATTCACATAGCAGTGAATTACACAAGCTATGCAGCTGGGGCCACTTTCAGTTTAAGGTCCTCTAGAAAATTCCCACTGAAGAGTTGTACGTGAGAGCTAGAAAGCCAAAGGTAAAGCATCATGAGAAGAAAGAAATTCAGCAGCCCCAGAAAGTAACTGTCGGTAGCCTATTTCAACACAGATAATTATTTGTATATGGAGGGTTTTAAAAGAAAGCAATATTAAAAACAAACTTAACAAAGAAAAAATATCACATTTCCTCCATTCGGTCACCGTTACTTCCATTTATATGTTCTTCTTTAGCCCCTGCTTCTATTCACTTATATTTTGACGTAGCTTGTCCATTCATTCCACACATATTAATCATGCACTTTGTACCAGGCTCTGTTCTAAGCACAAGGAATATAGGCACAGGGAAGAAGGCAGACAATATCCCCGTTTTCAGGGATTACAGTGGGGTGTGTGTGTGTGTGTGTGTGTAAACAGACAATGAACAAATAAGGAAGTTAATAGGTAAGTGACATTGGATCCAAGCCAGACGTGCAATGATGTGGGGAAAGAGTGTTCCAGGTGGAGTTTATAGCAAGTGAAATAGCCTGGCTTCTTTGGATCCAGAAAAACGTCGTAAGCTCATTGGTGAATATTAAGAATGAGACAGCAAGTAGGAAACAGGGCTGAGAGAGGCAGGCAAAGGCCAGGTTATGCAGGGGCTTGTAGATCAAGGGGTTTAGATTTTATTTCTTGTACAATTAGAAACTTTTGAAGGGGTTAAGCAGGGGATGGTGACATGATGGGATTTCCATTTTATAAAGACCGCTCTGGCTGCTGTGTAGTGAATGGGCTTTAGGGAAGCAAGAAGCAAAGTAGAGAGTAACTAAAAGACTGTTTTGGCCCAGATAAGGGTATGGTAACTTAGAAAAGGGCAGTCAGTAGCAGGAGAGATGGCATGATGTGGTGTGAAGTTTCTTTTACTGACAGAATGAATGCACAGAGAGAGAAAGTTGTAAACAGTATCTTATTTTTGATAACTACATAATATTTCATCAAATTAATATGTAGAATGTACTAGTTTCTATTGCCACATAACAAATCACTCCAAAGCTTAGTAACTTAACCCCAATCACTCATTATTTCTTAGTTTCTGCAGATCAGAGGGCTGGGAAAGGCTTAGTTGGGATGTTCTGGCTTTGGGTCTCTAATGGGGTTGCAGTCAGATGCTGGCTGAAGTTACTGTTATCTGAAGGCGGAACTCGGCCTGCAGAATCTACTTCAAGGTGACTTACCCATGGGGCTGGCACCTTCCTCTCCATGTGGGCCTTTCTATGGAGCTGCTTGAGGATCCTTACAACTTGGCCGCTGGTCTCCCCCAGAGCAAGGCTTCCAGGAAACCAACGCGGTAGTTGCAATGTCGTTTACGGTCTGGCCTCAAACGACATACCATCACTACCGCTGTATTCTAGTGGTCACAGAGACTCTCTGATTCAATGTGGGAGGACGTAAACACTAAGAGGGAAAGATCACTGGAGGCTACCATAAGATAGTGGGCATGTGATTATTTCTTTTATGAACAACAATCATCCATTCAAGAGATTCTAAAACAATTCCAGCTTCAAATATTTTTTCTTGTTGTTCTCATCAGTGTACTCATTTTTATTTGATTAGGTGTTCCAATTTAAAAATATCTTTTAAGACAGCTTGGCAATGAATATCTTCATCACTGGATATCACATTTGTCCTTCTATTAAAGTATTTCTTTAGTAATTCCCCTACTGGAATTATGTGTTCAAAGGGTCTTATGTACACTTGGATAGCTCCTGATAGGTATCCCTATATTTTTTTCTATAAAGCTTGATGGCTATACTTCAAGGCCTTAGCTTTCCTACATTAATGCATTTGAAATGAAATATGTATTACTTTAGTTAATTGGGATAAATAGGGTGGCAGCTAATACACGACTCATGTAAGTTGTGACAGAAAAAAGTGTTTATTGTTTTGAGAGGTGGTCAAATCCATTTCAGTTGAACCTTAGACTTTTTTTTTCAAATAACTTAGATTCTAATATAGGATACACATGGTTTTAAATGGGGCACTTCTAATAAACAAAAGTTATGTTGATTATAAGTAGTCTTAAATATGAAGTGACTTTATTAAAAAAAAGCTGAGATGCTGTAGGTGAGGCTCAGGTTTCTTGTAGCTATTAAAGACATTTTCATTTGTGTATTGATGGCCATTAATCCCTTTGCTCTTAGCTAAATGTATTCTTTCAATCCATAACAACACCACATCCTTATAATCTCATATGGAGTATGAGCCATTTCCTGATATGACCATTAAAAAAAAAATAACTAGCAGGATGCTTTGATGCAGCAAAACTAACATTCCCTTCTTA